TGGCATCTTCTGAATGTTCTCATTAAGATACTAAGCCTGAGGAGTGCCGTTTTATTAGTTACTCATTGTTGGTTGCCTCCTCAACAATATGCTAGGAAGTTATTAGGAGAAAAAAGGAGCAAGACAATCTACTGAGTTTTGTGGTCTGGGCCAAAGAGTAACAGCTATGTTTTAAGACCATTTGACCTCAACTAAACAAATAAATCTGCTTCCTCATTAGGGCTTCCAGTCTGCATTAAGCAGCAGGAAGCTAACATATTTTCCTCTTTATTATACCTCAGCTGCAGTCTCACTGTACGGATCAGAAACTCTAGGTCTTCAACCGAGATTGGGATCAATCCACTATTTTCTTAAAATCAGTATCAGTTTATTTAGCCAGAAATCACTAGACAACTGGATCTGGTAATGATTTCTCTCTTGCATCAATTTCAGACTAAATTTTAACACATTTAATCCAAATCTTGATTTTCTTCAGGTTCTCATAGATCCTTCAAATGGGAACTAAGGATCAGGAATCTGAGAAAACGGTTTCTATTGAAAAAGAGAATGATATATGGATCCAACTTCCTTCTCTACAATGCTTGTTTCATTATTAAAGAAAACTATCTTAAGAAAGTACTTAAAAATCACATCTGTTACACTTATGCTTTGCTAAATTTCCTATCACAAGACATACAGAACAAATCAGCTCCAAATTAATGTCAAGATTTTAGTATCTGGTGCTTCATACATAAGAAAAGCATGAATCCATTAACTGTTAGAAATATCAATCTCTGGTCTGTGCTAAGGAATCTCATCCAATCTTCATACTCCATTGTAAATGCTGTCCACTGTAAAATGCCTCAAGCTACTGGCCAAAACTATAACAAATCTGTATCAACCTGCACCTTCAGAGTCAACACCAAGGACTAACATACTGCCTCAGAATTGGCAGCAACAGTACAAGAGAAAAATCAACTTCCTCCCACCACCCACTGAAATCAACCCACAGTCTCTGCCTGCTTATCTACCAGATAGTCTCCTCTGCAAGCAACCAGTTGAGAACTGATGACATTTGAGCTGTTCTGACAGCTGAGGACAGCAGTGGCTGAAGTATGCTACACACCACAGTATGAGATACAATGCTCCTGAATGCATCTGCTTTATTCTTAGATGTGCCGCTCAGATGCATATTTATTTTCTCATGTATATACTTAAAAAACCCAGAATGATTCATTATTGTAAAAAAATCCAAATGGGGTGACTCAGTGGGTTCTGCACAGAGCACTGAAAAGACCAAGGTGTTGCTGATGGTATAACTTCATGAACCCAGTGCTGCAGTTTGCAAAGCTTTACAGCCATGCTAATGGAGGTGAGAAAACACATAATGACTTGACATAACTGATCAATATGTGGAGTAATTTCAACTTCAGTAACTAAAGAGCAGGTAGAAGAAAAATCAAAGAACCATAATAAAACTTATATGAGAGGAAAATGAAATAAAATTACTATCCTAAGGAGGTCAGAGGAGGATGAGGGGTGGGGGGGACAGAGTTAGAGAAAGAGAAGCCAGTTCAACAGTGAAATGTCTGAACACGGAAAGGAAGCTGGGTTTGATGCAAGCAAAGACTGGAAGGCTCTAAGAGGTACCAAGCATAAGCCAGCACCCCCAGAGGCTTCTTTGCTAGCTAGGGGAATATAAAAATAAACAGTTCCCAAGGATCAGAGTGCAGGTAGTATTTCAGCTGACATTAAGTCTTTGCTTAGTGTACTGTTTTCTCTTGTCCCGGCAATGTGGCAGTGAATTGCAAGGTTATGGTGGAGAGAGAGGAGAAAGACATCATGCTATCTATGTGCAGCACATCAACAGGGGCACTCATCCTCTGGTGCCACACAATTTCGCCTTCTACAACATACTGTTTTGTAGGAGACTGCCTCACCAAACACATCCCAGAGCTCAATAAGCGGCTGTGCAGGAGGAAGAGTCTGTTTGGAGATTTCTTTGGGAACAGATGGCTTTAAGGCAAAGGCCCAGGAAGGCTGCTCTGTCAGGGGTGGCTCTGGAGGAGAGACTCTGCTATGAGAAGGGGACAGTTTGCTGAAGCAGCCAGCCAGAAGGCCCTGGTGGGTGACAGGACTGCCAGCAGTACTCAGCGCTCTCCCCTGATGGTGAGGGGCCATCTAGTCCCAACCCTGCTCATTTCTGTTAATGACCTTTCCTCTGCCGCCTCAGTAACACAAATCCAATGAGACATATTTGCAAACCTATCTCCAGGCAACTGCACACTATTTGATCCTACACATTTACCTACAGTTCTGAGCCAAATGCTCATGGGCATGAACAAGTGAAACCTGGAATAGCTTTTCCGCTGCTCACAATTTGTCTACAAGTGCCATTTGAATTAGCATTTTTATAATTTATGTGCAGAAGCTGAACAACAGTTTTTGAAAGTCTGACTCTCAGTTTACACAGGTATGACTCCGTTTACACAGATATAATCTGCACATAACTCTGACTTCAGCAACATTATCTTGAGAGACTTTGCACCTGATGCTTATAAACATCATGGTACAGGACTGGTAGCAGAGTGTCCAGAAGGAATCAAGCAATTTGGATTCCAGTTATGGCACATCTCTATCAGTGTTTCACTTTTTCTTTTCCAACTTATGCTATTCCTTGGTATGTAGCAGGCAAAACTTATTTCCAAAGGAACATCTGTCATAAAATTATTTAAAAAAAAAAAATTTTGCATAGGGTTCAAACAATAACCAGAAGTTTTTCAAGGATGCTTTTCTTCTTTCCCCAAATTATTTGATTCTACTCTTTCTGCTTTGAAGCATGCAACAGCACAAGCTTTGACCTGGAATGCTCTGCTGAAGCCCATTTTACAGTGGAGGAAAAGCTGAGTTTTCTTTTGCTGTGATGATATTCCCACTGCCATAAAAACACAAGTGCTTGAAATGCTGAGCCTATACTTAAACAGGGTAGTTCACTACATTGTATTTCAGCTCTTCATAACTATGATGCAAAGGTGGCTTTCACTGCCAGCTTGAGGCTAGTTACAGTGATTCATATAAGCTTAAATTGTATAAAATTCCATTGCAGAGGGACCAGTTCAGTTCACTATTCACCTGCTGTCCTAGTTTGACTTCATAGTCAAACACGAACAAATTATGCTGTAAAATCAGGAATAAGAACTGTAATAAGGAGCAGGGAAGATTTATATCCTCTTTAAACTAGCTGTCCATGTAGGTTTTTGTCGAACTAGCACGTACTAAGTTGAGTTCTTTGCTAAATCCTCCACTAAAATGAGCACTTCAAATGCATTTCTTTTTCAGTATATTTCATTTCCCAAATGAGGATTAGGGGATACAGTTGATGGACTCTCTCACTGGAAGCTTCTTTCCTTTAATTTTTATTAACTTATGTCTAAAAAAAAAAAAAGGCAGGCCAATCTTGAGAGTTCTCTTATATGTTCTTGGTCCCACAGGCAACTGTTAAAAACCTTTTCTCTTTTGGAAGTCATAGTCTGCACAGAAAATTCCGTTTAGATGAGTTCTGTCCACGTCACATTTCTCATTCAGCAATTATTATCTCTTCTCCTGATTTAAACAACTCTTCTTCCTTCACTTCACTATATCATAAATCCAAATAGCTGAACTCACGCCCCATCTGAAACTTCATTTCATAAAAAGAAAAAAAGTAAAATTAGATTCTGCTAATAGTTTAATTCATTTATTCATTTCTTTTATCCTTCCTCTCCCAAGACTGTTAGATTTCTAAACTTTTCTTTTAGTTAAACTTTTGATGTGATTTATCAGATATTCTGGGCATCATCAAATCTCCACAACTGCGTAGAAGCTGCTCAGCACTCTTGAAAATCACGTGATAAAAGTCACTGGTGCACAACTTCATTTTCCATGTGTCCATAACACTTCCTGCATACCTTCAGGGCTGGGCATTAATTTACCATCCATGATACAGCTAAGGGGATCAAACGCTTCTTCTCTAAGTACAACCATTTCTCTCTTTCTTTGTCACATGTAGAAGAAACTATAGAAAAAAGGCATTCCTAAAAACATTTCTAGCACAAGCACTTGTACTGTATCTCCATCAGTCAACCCATGTACAAAGAAAGAGAATAAAGCTTTAGGGCTCACAAGCTGTGAGAGATAAAGAACACAATACAAGACTCAGTCTATCAAGATTAGGACTCACATTGGCTTCAGAACAAGCTCCCTGTGTTACCATTTGGCTTGCAAAGCTCTTTCCAAACTTGTGTCTTGTATCTTTTTTTTTTTTTCCACAGCATACACACTGCCATGCATCTCCTCTGCCAGATCTCTTCCTGTCAGCCAAATTCAGACATTTCTTTTTCAATTTTTTCTATGTTTTTCTCTCTCTTTTCTTTCTTTCTTTTTCTTCTTCTTTTAAGAAAATGTGTTTCTATCACAAAAGAGCCAAGTGTAGTTCCAGAGACTTGATGAATAGGCCCAACATATATACACATGGTTTGTGAGTTGGCCATGTATCATCAGCCTCATTTATCAGGGTGGAAACTTGTAGAACAGCAAAGTGCATTGGCTCCTTACGAATCCTGTTTCAGTCCCTGGGATAAAATCTGCTCCTCGTGTTCTATAGTCCAATCATTTATCAACAGACTCAGATTAGCATTTTCTATTTCCTTTCTTTTGTATTCCAGTCAGCTGTAGAGCTCTTCCCTTGAGAAATACCAAATTATCCACACTTAATTGATTTCTTATGTTGATATCATTGGCAATGCTAAAGTAGAAAAAATAATTTGAGAACTGAAATGTTAACTGGAATCCAATAATTCTTATAAAGCTGAAAAAATTAATAGTTTGATCTACTCCCATACAGTTTAGTAATGACAGAAACAAACAGGACTGCTACAGAATGGCGTTCAAACACAACATAGTAATTTTCCACTCACTGTTTTTATGTGAATATCAATATAAAACCATCAGCTGTTAGACAAATGAGTAACTGGCATCATTACCAGAGCAGACAAAGTCCTTCTTCTGAACCTCCGCCACAAGAAAACCGCGCAGGTTTACAGGTGCCAAACAGAAGGTGAACTGCCCGATAGTGCGCCTCTGCCGCAGCCAGTCAGACAGCCAAGCCAGGTGGCAGTCGCAGTGCAGGAAGTTGGAGTGAAGCCGCCTACAAAAGACAGAACAACCCTAAAGTTGTTAGTAGTTTTTTAAACAGAAGACACAAACCAGAGCAATCAAGTACAAGTCTGTCTGGCTCTTCACTACAGTGTAAGTAGGATCACTGCAGGTTATCTGTTACAGCTGAGTCAGGTCTTGATCGTCTACATTGCCATATAATATATGTGCCTGCATATAAATTAGTGCTATTATTTATAATGTCTTGGAAGAATGAAGTTAAATAATTACCTGCCTACAGGTAATCATGAGCTGGCCATTCTAGAGAAAAGAACATGAAGAATTTAAGATTCCTCCAAGTAATCACTTTGCCTGTGATTTCGTATCAGAAATAACTGTGTGAATGTGATATCTTTGAGTGAATTCAAAGGGTAGCTTGTATAAACATGAGGACCGGGCTGAAAAACAGGATGATAGGTGATTCTTCCCTCTTCTCTCTCCTTTGTGGGGAAGAAGGAGGGACAGAGAGTAAGAGAGAGAGAGAGAGAGAAAACCCACACACCAGAGGCTATTGATACCTTGTATGTTCCTGTATTGCCTGAACAAATTCATCAATGCTCTTTACTGTGGCAATTTAATGCAAGTATGCAGGTTCTAGACAGGAATTTTCAAGTAATGATGAAGGCGGCGACCACGACAGGGTCATGCCACACAGCAATGCAGGGGCCATTCTTTGTAATGGAAGATCTAGCCACACAGCTCCCTTCTCAGCCTGCTTCATGCCTGGCACTAGAGACTTGCAGAAGCATTGTCACATTGTGGGGGAAGTCTGCAAAATGACGATGCGTTCAGGGAGCAAATCTGGTAACTTTAATAGCTACCAAACTTTAGGTCAAAAGAAAAGCCCAGGACATTAATTATTTCATTCCTTGTAATGAGTCATACATTTGCAGTGTTATACCAAAGCTGAAATGATAAAACAGATTGAAAGTCCTGTCAGAAATGGTTAGACAAAGCATTATTCACTAATATTACAGGCATTACATTTAAAAAAACCCACACAATTGGTGTGCACAGGATTTAGCCCTGTCCATCCACCAAAGAAATTAACTGTCTGTGAGATCTTCATATCGCACAGTGGCAGTGCAGGTCAGCAGTGGCGCCCAGGCTGACAGTCCCCAGATTTGTATGTCTGGGGTGGGCAGTCACAGTAAAAGACTACAAATCTGGAACTGAGAGTTTATCCTGTGGAGATGGAAGATGCTAGTCTCCTGGGAGCACTGTAAAATGCAATTGTTTTAGAAGGATGGCTAGAAGACCTTGTGTATAGGGATTATGAAGCCATTTAATTGACAGTAAGTTAGATTTCTAGTAAAATGTTTTCTTATTATGAACCATTAATCTGCCTGGAACACTTTTTGTTGATTGAAAGAACAAAAAAATATATTTGCAAAGAAAAGAGAACAAATATCATCTAGCCAGAAATCATCCTAAGTAAGACTTTGTTCTAACTTAGAGACTAAGCATTGCGTTTAAATCCTCCAAGTCTTATCCCTTCCCACCACCACAGCAGTCGATGCTTAGAATCATCTTCCTTCAGGAACTGAAGCAGAGCTCATCCCATGCCCTGACCTGCATCCCCTGTATGGATGCAGGTAGGCAGAACTAATAAAACCGCAATTTCACAAAAAGGGGTAGCTTTCCAGTTCTGTGAGTTGTTTTTTTTCCCTTACTAAATTTGTATAGCTGGTTTCTGGGTTTTCCCATTTTAGTAGTGCAAACTGTCACCTCTTTGCCAGCTCACCTGCCTCAGCAGAGCCCTACCTCGTTAAAGTTTTTTGTGTAGATATTCTACAGTTTGCTTTTGAGAGGACACCATTTAGAGAGCCTATAAAGCTTAACAAAGCAGCCTGTTAGAATATATTTTTGATAATTATATTAATGAATACAGCCACAGAAAGACTTTTCACAGTACTTCAGAAGCATAATACACCAATTCCCTGTGAACATGAAAAGCACTGAAGTGATTTGGTACATTTTCAGTTTACCCTTAAATAAAAAAATTAAAAGAAATTATGCAATTACCTATCTCAGCAGTCACTCACACCTGCAGACACAACAGGACACTTACCATTAAGCAAATAGGTATGGGGGACATGTTCTAACATAAATAAAGCTGTTTCAAGCAAAGGAAAGCAGATCAATAAAAACTAATTCCTGTCACTTCCAATCAAGGCTAACAGATCAATGAAACTTAGCAATGGAAAAGACAGTTAAATAAAAAAGGTTAGCACAGAAGAGCTGATTTTTTAAAAGAATTCTTCAAGTGCTCCAAATCTTACTAGCAATTTTCTCTCTTTTTTTTTTTTTCTTTATTCCCCTGAGAGGTCATGTTCAAGTTGAATATCCCTTTTATTTTTCCTTCTCTGTTCTTAAATGAGCAGATTGTTTTGAGACTCATGAAGATAAAGCTATTTATCCACAAAACTATCACAGCAGCTGCAGCTGCAGCACAAGCAGCCCCAAATGTCCTGGTAATGGATCTTACTAGTGTGTAAAAAGAGACACATAGGAAAAACACTATCCACACCACACTAGGCCTCAGCTGGATGGAAAATAGGGCTTGTCCCTACTTAAGTAATATTCAGACCAGGGACTCCCTGCAAGAGCTTCTGAAAAAAAGCACGTCTGAGTGTGAAGATATTTGAGAAGGTGTACAAACTGATGATCATTTTTTGAGAAAACAGTAGAGTCACCAAACTGTAATGAACATCATTCACTCTCCATTTGGACTGAATTTGCATCAACGACCATGAGATTAAGTAAATAGCAGATCTTATTCAGCCATTATGCTTCAGACAGCTTTCTCCTTCTGAGCAAACTGTTCATTGAGGTTGTATATTAACACAGGAGGAACAGGTTATCAAGTGAAATAAAGCTCAGGAAACTAGAGAGAATATTAACATTTCCCCCCAAATAATATCTTTACAGAAATATTTGACATAGGTGAAAAACTGATCAGTTTTACATGTGCTCAGGTGTATGTTAGTTGATAGGGTATTACTATCTGTTTACACAAAACTTGGTTAAATCAAAACAGTATTAGCCTAAATTCTGAATAGAAGATATTCAGAAAATATTGAGTAATATGTAGCTATGCAAACTTGTTTTGTTAATAATTATAATTAATAAAATATTAATTGTGAAAAGTGCTAAGATGACTTGGGGATAGAGGAAGAATTTTTAATATGAAGGAGCAGCAGAAGAAATTATGAAATGCTATTTGATTCCTGTATTTATCTTATATTAATTACTGTTTTGATGACTTTTCTGCCTCTGCTGAAACAGATGGAAGGAAACATAGAAAACTAAACTATTTTACTGTATTTCCATCTGTCTATGTAGGATTTTTCAATTCCTATATTCAACAGCTAACAAGGGTACTGTGTGTTATTTGGCAGTCTTTGGAGACTGAAACATGCCACCTGATATTGATGAAACTACCTTTTACAGAACATGAGGTGAATGAATACGAATGCAAGTTTGCAAAGGTGACCTTTTAGCCATAAACCCTAAATTAAATTTCCAGCAAATCCTTTTAGAGTGGGTCAGCATTCATGTTCTATAAAATGTGGCTCTCAGAATTCAATATAAAAGCTTCCCTTTATAAATCCTATTTATGACTTCCTTCCTTTTTTTTTTTCTTTTTTTTTTTTTTTCTCCTTAATTACAGCAGAGGGGGATTAGTCAGTGTAAGTCTCCAGGGAGCTATATACAAAGCCATCTCCAAAATTAAACTAAAAGGAAAATGACAGAAGGCATTGAGCTCTGGTAACAGACGAGACTGACTAATCTGAAGAAGCCAGGCAAATTTTCTGGACCACTGTGACTGAATGAGAAAAGGCAAAACTCCAGAAACCTTAACCCTACACCTTTATCTTCTTTATCCATTCTCTTCTAAAAGACAAACATCTAATTTCCATTTAATTACTTCCATTAAGATCTATGAATGTCACCATTTAATGAAGAATGTAAATTTAAATCAGAGGTTATCTTATATAGATTCACATGAGTGAGAGCCATTTTTCTTCAGTTTTGTTAACTTATTTAATATGATTTTACACATAAATATGGAGCGTCCTTGAAGCATTTTATCTTTTCAGTGCCATAGACAATTTTCAGGCTAGCTACTATTTCCCTTTCTTTGCTTTTAGGACTAAATACATTTTGGTTGAGTTTGATATTTTGGAGGAAAAACAGAGAGACTTTGTTTAAACATGACTTTTCCTGAAGTTGTGTGTATATCCTGAAGGAATTTAAAGGAATAACTTATTTAAAGAAAATGTTTTTGGTAGGCTATGGCTAAATTATACAAATGCACACAGTCTAATTTCACGGTCTTTGTATTTTGGTCTACTAAAGCCAATCAGAGCTTTTCCAGTGGAATGGTGCCCAGCTACAGAAAACAGGATTTGATGTAAGAGAAGCTTTTATAAAAAATGCATCAGAATCAGTGACATTTTGTTTCAGAAAGTATCTGGAAAAGAAGCTTTTTTCAAGTTCTTTTAAAAATTTCTTGTTTCAGAAATTAGTATTCTGAATTTGAAAAGAAGAAATAGGATTTAAATACAGGACATTAACAAAGTTAAATAACTTGATCCATCTGAGCAGTTTTCATAATTTTGATGATGCTCCAGCTTGGAACACTTTTCACATTACGGATTTTCCCATGGGGAAAAAAATGCTAGTTTCACTTCCGGCTAAATGCAAAATCCTGACTCTTCCCTAACGCGGGGTAAATCCAGGGCCCCGAGAGCACCAGCCGCCATCGCAACCCTGCTCAGCCTCCCCGGGGGCTCCCCGGGCTCCCCCAGCCCTGCCAGGGCCCAGGATCCCCGCACGGCCCAGCCGGGGGCTCTCAGGCCCTGCCCCAGCGGTGCCGAGCAGCGCGGGTCTCCAGCCCTGCCCCAGACCACCCTGCCCGGCCGTGGGCCCCACTGGAGCTGGTCCCCACCCGTGTCCCCGGGGGGGTCCTCAGCTGTCCCCATCCCCACAGATGGGCCCGAGGCTGCCCCCGCGGAGGGGGGTCCCTGCCCGCCATGGCCCTCGCAGGGTCAGCCTTGTTCAGTGACTGTCTTCCTCAGGAGACCAGGGTGAATTGTTCACCTTGGGAAGAGACTGAAATAAGACTACCACAAGGCGACAAATATCCAAAGAGATGGCTGACACCATCATCATCATCACTATTATTATTATTATTATTATTATAATATTCGAATACGTTACTCACAGAGTCCTGATCTTTGGCATGTGATTGAAACTGGTAACAGGAATGCGGGTGATGTTGTTATTGTTGAGAGTACTGTTAGGAAAAAAAAAAAAGAGACAAAAGAGAATAACAGATTGATCAGTTATTTACAGTTCTTTACCAACACACTATTTACAGAAACAGGCTGCTAAAACTCTTCTTAACAAATCTGCCAGGCTGCGAACAGTAAGACATGCTGACCGATACCTCAGACAATTTGTGACATATCGTGAAAGATACTGTTAGGGCAGAGCAACCAACAGCTGCACAAGAATGGATGAAGGTTACTATTTACCATGTTTGAGTACCAAGGAGTACAGGAGATGAGTTTTTATCGACTACTGGAATGGACCCCAACTTTTTGGTTAAGCCGCCACTTGCTTGAAAACCTGGTGCAACTTGAGTGGAGGAACATCAAGCTCGCATACTGCAATAGGAAAGCTTTGCGCTTAAAGCGCTCACTCTCACACCAAAAGAGAGCTGTTGACTCTCACAGGCTTGTTAACACAGCCAGCTTACATGGACAGACAGCTCAAATTGCCCTTTTGAAAACATACAGATGGATGGGTACCCTTTCTTTGGTTTCCTTATGAAAAAAATATATGGGTAGTGGAACAGATTGTAATAAAACATGTCATGACCCAGGCATGTAAGGATTTCTGCTGCTCTATCAAAGCAGAGCTTAAAGAGAAAATTATCTCAGCTGCTGGTAGGGACCCCCTTAGTGCTTCTTACGAAAAATGAACCAACTCGATTATCATCAGCTGAGTGTGCTGCTCCCATTTATGTAGCTCCTAATTATATCAATGACTCTCTAGCAAATTAGAAGCTATAAAGATTATCAAGATGGCACAGGAAATGGAAAGCACTCCAACAGGGCATAAGTGCCGTGCTCCAAGTGCACCAAATCTGCAAATACAGTAGCCCAGTTTGGCACAAGATCTGATGGGACCGGTGATGACTCCATGTCCCACTGTGGCCAGTCCTGCTGCCGGTAGCAGCTGCCTATTTGAAACGTGTGGTGTCCACAGCACTACAGCATGGAGCAACCTCTGCTTTATACAAGGGCACAGCACTCCACAGGGTCACTTTGGTAGAAGATAGTGCTTTTGTACATTTGTTTATGTGTTGAAGAAAATACCTGCTGAAGCAACCTAAAGGCACACTACCCTTCCCTGAACTATTTAGTTGTTCCAATGTTATGTATTTACATAGGACATTTAATCAAAAGCTGTTGAAGAGTTTTACAGAAGTTAACTAGCCCTCTTGGTCACCTGCCAATTTAAAAACATTTTTACAATTCTGGCTAGAAATCCTTTGGCATAACCATCATCTACAACATCAGCAGATTAAAGCTAAATTAGATTATACCCTATTAAGACTGTTTTTCTGGTACACAGAAGACGCACAGGCATACTGGCAAAGCCAGAAGGTTGCAGGGTAACACGGCTACGTGCAGGCACACTCAGGAGAGGTGCATGAGCAGGCTCTGACACTGGCAGCAGCGTGTTTGTGTTACTGCTGCACTGCAGAACAGACAGGACAGAACATGACCACTTTGTTAGTAGGATCGTAGCTGGTATTTCAGCATAGTGCTGCACCAGATGGATACACTACTGATCTGGAGCCAGCTTGGGGCTGACATACCCATGGCAGCAAACCGCACCAACAGAGCAAAATTACCCTTCCTTCCAAATCTGCGAGCAAAGTGAGTCATGTCAGTAAAAGCAAAGTTTTGGAAATCTGGAAACTGCATGCGAGATCTGTTGCCAGAGATCTGTGTCAGTCAAGTCACACACGTTCACACACCAGGCTGATAAGAGCTGTAAGCCTTAGTGCATCATGGCTTATAGTAAAATATATAGTATTCATTCCAGATCCTCTGGAAAATTTGATGCTGCCAAAAATTGGACAAGAAACACATAGCTAAGTATTGGGATCAATGGGTATACAAAATTATGGGCTTGTGTATGCAATTTCTCAGTACTCAAACACAGTCTATTAGAAATTTACTGGATAAGACGAAGACGGAAATACTGTCAACTTCAGAAGTAAACCTGAAAGTAAGCTCTTTCAGCTATCAGCCATGTCATTTCATCAGCTGTGCATCACAGTCTGCACATGCACTGCCTTACTGTGGCTTCAGCAGTGGAAGTGAACACGAGTATCAGTGTACATCTGCAGGGCTGAAAAGCTCTACCTTTGAATTCCTGCTAACGTCATGATGACAACACGAATGTCCCACTGTGGCAGTTTATATGGTGCAAAATGAACTTCTCTGTCATGTAATTGCTACTGCTTGATTACCTTATTTAGCCAGTGATACAAACCAAAGTCTTTTGTGGACAGTTAGCCAAAACAAGTATGCATAACAATTTCAGAAAGTGAAGAAAACCTCTCAGAAGGGTGCATACATATATACATCAACACAGCCACCTCTCAAAATCTATATTTATTTGCTATTTGCATTTGCACATGCATGTTGGGAAGTTCAAACAGGGCTCACAAAGGGAATTTCTACTTGCACCACCATTATTTTCCACAAACTTGAAAATATAATTCACCCTTTGCCTCAGTTGCCTGTTACATAAAAATGAGCTATGTGCTTGGTTGGAAGATTTTAGGTATACACTGATAAATAAAAGCCACATGTAAAGTCAACTCACAAAAATTAAAACACATACATAGCTGATGTCTGAATAGGTCACACATGGCACTATAGAAGTCAATGGAAACCATAGGAATTCAAGGGAGACTTTCTATTGATTTCAAAAGGACATGGATTGGATTCAGGCAGAACAGGACGTGACAGCGAGCTTCCTTCTATGCTAACTGAGGGTAGAGAACACATCCCTGTCTCCCAGTGCAATTCTTCATCTGGATGCAGAAAGGACAGCCTTTACTTCTGATTTGATGATTCAAAAATATTGTTTAATTTCTTAAAATATTTCTGTTTAAGACAAAGCATTATTCCAATCACACAGTATTTCTACTCACAAAGTATCAGATGAGAGTGGCTCAGGTTTTGCCCCTAATAAGCAAAGGTTTCCCATAATTCATCAACAAATATATAACCATCCTTCTAAGAATCCTCAGTGCTAAATTAATATACTCCTTAAACACAAATTTCAGGGATAACTCTAGCAGATAGCTATTGTGCAGATGACTTAGCATACTATTTCATTGATATTTAAATGTTAACCATAATGAAGGCAATAAAACATCTATGATAACAGCAATTATTTCAGAAGAAAGAAGGCCAAACACTGCAACGGCCACTAATTGACAGTGAACTGTCTGCATTACAGCCCAGTTGTAGCTGCAGGAATTTAACCCTGCTGCTCTGGTTGTGCAGAGCACACAGCTCCCACTGCTGTAGGAACTATTTGGCTTTCGAATGGGGACGTTTTCAGGTAGAGGTATGCTCTAAAGGCATTCCGCAAAGCTTTCTGTCATGCACATGAAGCCTTCCCAGCAATGATTTTTAAAAGTATGTGTCTTGACAGGGGTAAGCACACAATACAGTGGCATTTTTAACACATGAAGAGAAAAAATAAATTCTGCTTCAGTCATCTGCTAACTGCTCCAAGGCACCAGTCTCATTTTGATCCAACTAAGATTCAGATCCATAGAAACAGATGCACAAACACAAGGAAGCTGTAATAAACAGACAACTTCCAGAATCTTCTGACTCTTCCAACATCATATGGGGAAACTTGTATCCTGCTGGGTTCTCCCCAACCTTATACCTCCCACCTCTTCTAGAACCCGATATACACTTGTCCCTTGAAAAAGCACTGTCCTCTCATTTAGAAGTCCTCTCCCTGTAAAACTGTTCACATTCAAAATGCTGAATCAGGAAACTGAGGTTACAGACAATATTATTTATGCCAGCAAACTTCCCACCTTGGGCCGTGATCCTTGTCAGATCTTGCAAGCTAAGCAGAAGCAGACTGCAGCAGTCCTAAGGATCCTCCAAGGACTACTTGGAAGACGCATAACATGGGATCAGCAGTCTTCGAGGTGGTACATCCTCCATCGGTATGAACTGTCATAGTCCCATTGACTTCAATTTACAACCCCAGAGGAACTGCTCTACTAAACTCACTCCTCTGCCAGTTGCCCAAACTGGTTAGAGGCACGCATGGAGCTGCTTTCTTCCTTCTGAAGAATAAAGCTGATTTATAGTCCCTACTAATCAGAATTATTTTAAAGGAAAGAACGCTCACTCTGCAATCCTGTCACGATTTGAAAACAATTACCTATCTCCTTCTTCAAACTTTTTGTGCAAATTTAACTACATGCAGTTGCATTTCTGTTCTCTTCTGACTTGCTCCAAATTCATGTACACCACTGTAGCTCCCTGACAGAGTTGTTAATTCCAGACTCAATGTAATTACTTTAAAATCATTAACCTGTAAAAATGACTGTCATGTGTGTGGTTTTTTAAATAATATTTATGCATTATTCTTTATCCTTTCTCCACCCTCTTGAATAGGAATACAGGTGTTCAGGACTAGATGAGAGTCAGAAAAAAATTATACTCTAATGCTAGAAGAAATCACACAATTTTTAAGTAAGATACTTTGGAAAAAAAGGAAAGGATTTAGATTTTGAACCCTAATAATAATACAAGTATTTTACTTTAAAAAGTCAGGTAAGCATCCTTTCATGTTCCTTGGACTAATTCAGAGAGTAGAAATCCCAGGCTGTCAGATCAATAGTCAAACACTCTCAAAGTACAGAGTACACAGAGATTTTGTTTCTCTTACTTGGTGTTCAGTTAATGATATAATTAAGAGAGTATAACGAATATTAGAATGCGTGGTGACTTATTCATCTGGTAATAATACTTTCATTACAATATATCTACCTCCTTTGTTCCAGTTAAGTACTAGGCATGAGCCAAAAAGATATTCTGGCAATGATGTCAGAAAAAGTTATACAACATAACAAAATTATCTGAAATATTAACTATTTAATTTCTTCAGTTAGTACTTCAATAACTACATTGTAAAATAGTAATTGTCTTAATGTTTTCCAGTCACACTTCA